AGCGAGTATATAATACTCAATAAGAGGCATAAAGAAGAAAAAAAACTAGAATAGTCTATCTTAATGAACTACTTTTAGTTAATTTTAATTTTTCCTTCTTGAACATCAATAGTGTTATTAATTTCTTGTCTTTGACGAATAAATTAAATAATAGAAAATGTATTAATTTGAGACTTAGGATACTTATTCTATAAAAATGCATTTAAACATGTAAAAATTGATCTTTAATAGATTAAAAGTACTCAATTTTGTAAAATATCAAGTAATATTAAAATACTATACATAATAGTTAAACGATATTATTATCAGATAATGTGAAGTAAATTCAAGATATAAATGTCCGTATGACATTAAAATAACACAACTCATTGAGCTTGGGCTTTTTTTAAATGTGTGCCTTTTGAGATTTGTCTCCCCGACATAGCACTATATATCCCAATTGATGTATGTGATTTTATATAATAACAAGTCCGAAAATATCAAAAAAAAAATGTCATCTTCTTCATCCGAACTCTACGACTTTAGTGCATCGCTTGTTTCTTAAGTAGGTAAAAAAACATTTGTTGAGTTCGGTTAAATCCTCTTAAATTTTGAACACTTCTCATTCATCATTATTATTTATTTAATTATTTATTTTACAGATTTTGAGATGCACAAACAATGCAACAACTGGAGTATTCTTGGCAGGCATGGGCGGACCCAGAAAAGTCATCTTGTGGGAGCGAAAATATGGGGGGGGTCACAATATATTTGGAGGGCGAAAATTATTTTTCGTATATACTTCGTATATACACTAAAACAATTTTGTTGAGGGGGCGGTAGCCTCCCTGGGTCTCTACTACGGTCCGCCCATGTTGGCAGGAGTTATCAGTGATTACCTTATGTTACTTATGCGGTTTCAAGGCTCATATTCATGCCAAGATGCAAGAGTTTTAAGTTTGAAAAGATTTGGGCAAGGGATGAGGAATGTCAGAGAAGTTATCCATCAAAGTTGAATGAGAAACAAAGACAGTAACTTTTGACAGGAAACAGTCAGTGTGGAGAGGTTTTGAGTAGTTGGAGTTTTAACAAAAAAATTGGGTTTCAAAAACCATGTTGACATTTGTAGAAGTAGATTTCAAACACGTTTGACTCAAAGAGGGCTAAGATGTGATGCTCAGTTTTAAAGGGTTAAATATAAATTGGTGGGATTGTGTTTAAATAATGAAATACCTTTTGGATGTAAAGAGTGAAAGAGTTCTGATTGCAGGAGGATGTGAATTCACACTTTTTTCTTGAACAACAAAATGAATCACTCTTTTATTAAATGGTTTTTTTTGTGGGGGGATAAAATGGTTATGAATAACTCTTTTAAGAAAATAGGTTGACATTTATAATATCTTAAGTTTACGAAGAATTCACAACGCTGACGGCCTCACCTAGAACCCTCTAGGTTGCGTGAGATTTTGGCAGGTTTTTACGTAAGGTTTTCCGGCGGCGGTTATTTGGATCAATAGGAGTAGGAAGCATGCATCGGCGAGTGTAGAGAGGAGCACAGTTGCGGCATCATCTGAAGATGGAATTTATGGCGGACAACAACGAAATGGAATTCATGACGAAGGTGGAAGATCCAGAATCAGAATAACTCAGGGCTTGCTAGCTTGATGTGGCATGGAGCATTCCAGATTCAAGTGATGGAGAAAGAAGACGAAAAGATGATAATCTGTCCCCCTCCCGAACCGTCGTCTTGGAAGATCTGTGCAACTACGGTTTGGAAGACTGTTTTACTGGTTCTAGTTTGTTATTTTCAGTTCAGACGGCTTTACTGTTTCCATTTTGTTAGTTTTGTGACAAACAATAAGGGAGGTAGGTTGGTGAGTTGGCTTGTTTTGGTTGATAGATTTCTGTTTGGAGGCACTCAGGTTGATTCGACCGCTAATAGCCTCTATGTGTTTATTGTTTCAGCGATTAGTCTCGTTCTTTTAGGGGTGGACTAATCTATGTTTGATCATGACGTGAGGGGGCTGACGGGCTTTTGGAATTGGCTGGATAGAGGGAGTTCGAGATTTTGGGATATGATTGTTGCTACGTTTTTGTTGATTTTAATATAAGCTATTTATTTCCAAAACCTAGAAAAGGCGTTTTGATTCAGGAGATTAGGGAGAAGAGGTACATTTTTACCTTTTATCATAAAATTGATATGAACCGTGTATTAGATAACGGACCCTGGTTGTTTGATCAAAACCTGCTAGTGTTGAAAGCTACTCCGTATTAAGCAGGGTGACATGTCTCAGAAAATACCCCTAGATACGGCTTATTTTTGGGTTCAGATCCACAACATCCCGTACGGATTCTCAAACTTGGGTTATGCTCGTATATGAGGGTTAGAGTTATGTTGAATGTGAAGAAATCCTAAAAAGTGGGTATAACGCTGAAAAAAGTAAAGGGGAAGGATACTGGGTGGACTTCATATATGATAAACTTCCTAGTTTCTGCTTTGCCTGCGGAGTCTTTGGACACGCTGAAAAGTTATGTCCTTCACTGTATGACAAAGGCGATATAGAGACAGTGAGAGTCTTTGGCCCATGGCTTCAGGCGGGGGAGCGAGGTTTCGCCCAACAATAGACAGCAAATGACTTATAAATGAGACGGGGGTAGGAAGAGACCATGTGGAGAAGGGAAGGCAAAGCAATACTATGGATAAACATGAACAGGAACTGCACTAGTTTTGTATGGCAAGGCTCTGGCCGGATCACTCTAAATTCTAAGTAATAAGCAAAGCGTTCATGAATCATTCTAGCTTCACTTTTCTTAATTTTCTAACACTGAAAAATTTTACTGAAAAAAATTGTTTTAAATGGGAGTATAACATGAATAAAGATGTGAAATAAGATCACATATATTTTCTTCTCAAGTAAGATTTATTTAATCCTATTAAAAAAATTCATAAATGTTCAGATTAGGACTCATTTGGTAATTGGCTGAACCGATTGAATCTGTTGAAACTGATGGAATGCTGACTGAAACAGCTGAATTGCTGAATCTGCTAAATTATTAAAAAAAAATTGAAACATACTTTGTGTTTCATTCATAGATTAAAGAAAAAATAATTTCAACTTTACTTACTTTGATTATTACATAATTCAGTACTTGAAATCAAAAGTTGCGTGTTTGATAAAAGATTGACTAGTAAAGAGACTGACCGATAAGAATGACCGATAAGAATGAAAAGTTGCGTGTTTGATTGACTAGGAAATCAAAAGTACATGTCTGATTAAAGACTGACCGATAAGGATGAAAAGTTGGAAATATCGCAAATTATATCGTGGGATCGACCCACCTTTCGCATGGTGTGCTAATCCTACTTTTGCAAAGTTACGTTGCTTTTTTTCCTTCCCTAGAGCTTCCTCCTTCCTTTTTCTTTTGCTATTCTTTCTTTAGTTTTCTTTTCTTCAATTCATCTCCACTTCCATCAAATTAAAATATTAAAAATTTAATTGCAGTTTTACTTTTCCCTATCTTCAATTTAAATTATATTTGAATCCTTATCTTCAGTTTTATCATTACATAACAAAAAGTTTAATAGTCTAAATAAAATAAGTACATTGCATTTCATATTCATACACTATTTTTTGTAATGTCTTTTTATATTCATACATTTTTTGTAATATATTTTTATATGCATACACTTTTTCTATATATATATTATCACTTTTATATGTTTTTAGAGATTTTTAAGACATTGAGTTTGTTTATTTTGATTCTAGCTTGGAGTTACATTTGATAATATACGAAGTTACATCATCTTATGCTCGAGTTACGTGTTATTATGCGAGAGTTAACTTTTGTTATGCGTGAGGTACATCTTCGTATGCACGATTACATTCTATGCGAGTCACGATTACATTCTATGCGAGTTACATCTAATTATGCATGAGTTACATCTAATTATTTGTGATATTTTACTTATCTTTATCTTTAACTAGTTAAATTACAACTGAATTAATTTTTTTCTTTATCAATTTAATACAAAAATTTATTAAACCACACAAATAAGTATATTGTATTTCATAGTCACAAAATAAAATCATTTTATTGAATAAAAAAAACTTTTTTTAAATCCATTTTCTTTTGCAAAAAATGTGTTTTTGGGGAAAATGATTCCTTTAAAACATTTCGTGGTCTTAATATTAAAAACAAAACTTAATCACTATTTCGGTAAAATAAATACTCCTTCCGTCCCTTATAATTTTGTCATCTTTCCTTTTTTGATGTCCCAAAAACTTTGTCACTTTCTCATTTTAAAAATTTTCTTTTAAAAATTTTGTCCTCTGCACATATCTCAACCATACAGTTTTTACTTTATTATTTCCCGTGCCGGTCAAACATGGCAAAATATTGAGGGACGGGGGGAGTAAGAAATTAGACTCCTTTTTTATTGTTTACATTGAAATCATTGTTTTTGACAAGTTACATTTCGACTTGGCTGCAGTAACATTTCTTATTAGCGTGAGTTACATTTCTTTACAGATGAGTTACATCATTCATGCTATTGGGACAAAAAAACAATTACTGTTCACGCGTGTACTGTTCACGAGATTTAAAAAAAATGATTAAAACTACGTCATTTTTGGGCATATGGATGATTCGACCGTGGGATGTTTCCACGGTATACGAACTCTGGAAATATGGGTTACACTTTTGGAATGAAATTGGAAAGAAAAAGAAGTCGTTTGGCAACACTGTTTTTCGGCTTATCAAGCTTATCAGCCAACTTTTCCACCAAACACGTAACTTTTGCTTTCACGCGCTGAGTTGTGTAAGAAACAGAAAAAGTAAGGTTGAAATTACTTTTCTGGTTGTATTGACTGAAGTTATTGTAGATGACCATTTTAGCTATTTTTACATATATTTTTTCTTTATTTTATTAATAAAATATATTTTAATTTTTTTTCTTAAATCAGCATAATCGATCAAAACCACCTCTTCAGCTAGAATTTAAACCGGCTCAAAATGAGAAGCAAACACGGTCAAATACATGGTTATACTCTACTAACCGAATATGCTGCAGGATCCTTTTTTTCATCACGCGGTGTGGCCGAGCATATGCTCTCAAAATATTCTTACCACCAATCCTTTCTTTACTCCATAAAATCCGCAGCCCATATATGCTTTTCGTCAAATTCACATAGTTTATCATTTCCGCCTGAATAAAATTACACGGAATTTGTATATCGATGAAGTTTGGGAAACGGTTACAGCAGCAGATCGAGGACACACTGCCAGGGTGGCGCGGCCAGTTCTTGTCCTACAAGGCTTTGAAGAAGTTGGTCAGGGCGATATCGGCGGCTCAGCCGGCTGTGCTCGACGGGTCTTTGGCGGAGTCGGCGTTTATCTTTCGGCTGAACAGTGAGATTGAGAAGTTTAATGCCTTCTTCATGGAGCAAGAAGAGGATTTCATCATCCGCCACAGGGTTCGTTAGTTCTACTCCTCTTTTTTGAAGGATCCTTCTACTATTATTAGTTCCTTTTATTTTCGTTTTACAATCTTATTGCCTCTTATCTCAAATTGATTAATGGTGTTGCATTTTTTACTCTTAATATTAGAATTGACAAATTGTTGACTTATATGAAAAATTATACTAACTCCGTCCCAAAACACTTTGTCATTTCAAAAAATTTGAAACATGATTTTTATTAGTATAATATTATTAAAGTTACGAATTTTATACTTTTATAAGAATTCTTTTTACAAAGAACATTTTCATATAATTTTTATATTATAAATAGTTTCCAATAAAAAGATATAATTCGTAAAAGTTTTGAAATTTTAAAAGTTTATCGAGGTAGTACTACCAACTACTTACTAAAATGGTTAACTTCAATCAACTCAATTAAACAGTAACTTCAACCTTTTTTTATTACTCCCTCTCGCATGATACTTAGCCAATGTTGACTTGCATTAATAAAGTAAAAACTGTGTGGTTGATATTGGTGCAGAAGAGAGAGAAATAACTTTAGCCACATATTTGTTACTTTAAATGAAAATGACAAAGTATTTTGGGACGGCCAAAAAAGGAAAGTTGGTCAAGTATTATGGGACGGAGGTAGTACTTTATAATTCAGCGCACAAAATCATATATTACATGTTTAATAAAAAATTGATTAATAAGGTTGATACTACGAGTAAACATAGTCACCAAGGGTTCTTAAAATCATTCTTTATTTTTAGTGTACCATTGTAGCAGTGAAAGAAGTACTTCGTAGAAGTAGATGTAGAATATAAAAATAATTTCAAAATTTCAAAAATATTGACTTTGACATTCTGAATTTTTTTCACAATTTTTATCTATATTTCATCATATTTTAACAAGTTTTTAGAGTTTTTAAATATAAAAACCTACTATTACAAGTCAAAATGGCCAAATTGATCAGTTTTTTAAAGTAAGTGTACTTATATGATACTTTTTTGATTAGTGACCCTCTCTGTTTTATCGTTTTACAGCTCCATATTTTATTAAACTAATCCTAAGATTTTATACCCTAATCATAAGGTTTTAAACCCTAATCTTAAGCCTACATATATTAGAATTCAATTAAAATACTAGATTACTAAAAACAAAGTGAGAATTAAGAGTTGTTTATTTAGAAAGTTTCACTTTGGGTCTTACGGATCCCTTCTCATACTTCACCCGGGGTTTGACCGAAATAGAGGCTCACCAGTCACCATAATTTGGTTCTAATCACACTTGAGGATCATGTGTTTATGATATAATGACTTAGGTGTTACATAATTAACCAAAACATATAAAAGGGTATATGTAGAATTAAATATCGATATGTATGTCTAAAATACAAATTAAAGCAGGATGAATGAGAATGAAATAAAGGACATTCTTTTATGAATGAAAATGAAATAAAGAACATCCTTTTATACACTAGATGCATTAGACTAATTAGTCTCATTTATTTTGACTAAAACATTGAAGTTATACATGCAGGAGTTGCATCACAGGATACAAACAGTTGTTAATAACCAGGGGCCATATCACATAGAAGAAATGGTGAACATCAGGAAAGACATTATCGATTTTCATGGGGAGATGATTCTTCTGATAAACTACAGCAATCTTAACTACACAGGCTTGGCCAAGATTCTAAAGAAGTATGACAAGAGAACTGGCGGACAACTACGCCCTCCTTTCATTAAAAAGGTTCTTCAACAACCCTTCTTCACCACTGATTTGGTTTCTAAATTGGTGAAGGAGTGTGAGAGCACTATAAACACCATATTCCCAGATTCGGAAGAAACCATTACAATGGGTTTGGGACAAGAGAGGGTTCCACTTACAGGAGAAAGTATATTCAGAAACAATGTTGCTGCTCTTCTCAATATGCAAGAAATCAGAAAAGGAAGCTCGACTTATAGTCACTTTTCCCTCCCGCCTCTTACTTTAACAGATTTTGATCTCATTCAGTCATTGCAACTTCCTCCGCTTATTGCTATTCCTTGATGATTGTACTTTATATTATACTCAGCTCAATCATGTTAAGTTGTTAACACTAATGACTATCATTTTAACCTTTTTACTCGTTTCTTAGTTTTGTTGTTGAGGGTGCTAGAGTCAAAACTTGTTCATGACACAATTACACAAAGAAAGAAAATCAGTTATATTGTATGAGAAAATTACCTTGTATGACTATAAGCTTTTATGTTTCTCAATGTATGACTCATAATTTCCCCCAATATGATGGCATATAAGGTTTCATTCCATCCGGCCTTTTACTTATTTATTTAATTTTATTTATTCATTCATTACTCATACTTCGATCATTCTATATGTGATAACTTACCCTTCCTACTCCTGATCCTCTTTCTATTGCATAGCGTGCTCTTTTAAGTCTTGAAGTTTGTCGTTCTCATTCTCTCAATCATGGTTTCCCTTTCATTTTCTCACTCTTCAAACATACACGTCACGTTGAAGGTAGATTAATAGTGATTGCCAAACATATTTTTCATAGTTTATCTATTGTATTCTTCGACATCCCTTTGTGAACATCATTTCAGGAGGTGTGTGAAATTTTGTGCTTTGTTAGCTATGGAGAAGTAATCAAACAAGAATACGCAGAATTTTTATTTGTTTGAGTTATCCCCCTCTAGCTATTGTCATTGATGATAGTAGTTTGATGTTTTATCTGCAAATGAAGACCATTCAGCCAGATATTAATAAGTTGTCACTGTGAGTGGAGATTCTTCAACATGCAGAATGTTATTTAAAATTCTGCAGGTTCGATCCTTTGATATTATATACTCCGTAAATGCTTGTTTGAATAGTGGTAATCTCCTTGTTGTGTTTCTCTCTTTTATTTTATAATTATAAATGTCCAACCCCTGCAGAATGTTTATATATGTTTGTTGTCTTTTATACTAAGGACATCTTGCAGATATATCAGATCATGTTTATTACAAGAGTTCAGATGATGATGTTAGTGAAGAAGTGGTATCCATATGAGAATTTGAAATAAATGTTGTTGCAAGTGAACTAACGAAAACTCTTTATATTCTTTTGATGCATGTTTTTATGCCTTCTTTTGGATTACACAAGATGATGAGAGTTATAAAGTGTATGTGATACAGACAATTTTTTATTTTTGTCTGTGTGAAAATCGATTTTCTTCAAAAAAAACGCTTGTCAAATTGTCTGTGTAGTCGGTCAAATTGTTTGTACACAGACAATTTGATCAACGTGTAACCCAACGTGTAAAAACTGGCGTGTACAAATGGAATTTTCGTATTTAAATTCAATAGGTAGGAATTCAAATCTTTGAAAAGTTTTGACCGGAGCTATGCCTATTTTGCTGAACGACCCCAACTTTGATCCACCCGACTTTGATCCATCAAACCGGGTGGGAAAGTTAGCCTAGATTTCCACGGCGTTTTGTATATAGGAAGATTTTTAACCCACTCATATCACCATGGATGCTACTTATAAAAATAAAAAAGGAGCTTGGTTTTAACTTGAATATGTATTCATGTACATAAATATCCACTATAAAACAAGCCCATTGTCTCTTAAGGTGTTACATGTGTGTTTGTGTTTGAACCCACATACGTACGCTCTTTGGAGGTTGATTGCCTAAAAGATGAGGGCGCCCAAAGATGAGAGGTGTGAATTAAAGTTAATTTGATGAAAATGTTGGATGTACACGTTTTTGTGTACACTTTTTGTACATTTGTCTGTCTTATGCACATAGAACTGTTTATACAGACAAAATTGTTTGTGTAAGACATACAAGTGTACGAAAGGTGTACACAAAAAAGTATACACCAAACAAGGCTATAATTTAATTTAGGCAAATTCTACTGCATCCTCAAGGTACCATACGTTGTGTTGGGTTAATGGCCCAATAGGGATGGGCTCATGAACCATAAGGTCCACCCTACGGATGTTTTCTGAGACGAACAACGGGGGGCAGGTTCACGGGGACGAACGCCCCCAACACGTAGCGCAGGCGCAATGCAGAAGGCAAGCTGATAGAGACGGACGTCTCCACCCCTGGGCCTAAGGCCAAGGTACCCGCATAAAGCAGGGAGTAGGCTTTTGGGGACGAACGTCCCCACCCCTTGGACCTAGCAGGAAGTAGGGAGCAAGCTTTAGGGGATGAACGTCCCCACCCCTTGGATCCAGCGGGAAGCAGGGAGCAAGCTTTTGTGGATGAACGTCCCCACCCGTTGGCGGGAACCCAAGATTCTGGCGGGAAGTGCATTTAATGCAGAAGATTTGGTGGTTGGGGCCAAGCCATCCACAGCTCGCCACATCAACGCATTCAACCACCCCTTGGTAGTATAAATAGTAACATTTATTCCATTGTAAAGGGTTCACAATTTAGCATACTAGCACTATAACAATTGTATCAGCTCGTAGCATAACATTGTACGAACGGTTTCTCGGCTCTGTAATCGTTTCAGTGAAAAACACTCTTTATTGGGCCTTTTCCTTGCTTGTTTCTTCATCTAACTTGTTCACTCTTCCACTCGAGATCCTTAGGACACGTGTTGGGCCTAACGGGTTGAAGGAATAAACTTCAACACCGGCGCCGTCTATGGGAAACTGATAGAAAAGTCTTCCAAAACCAAGCTCTCAGCTCACAAACCACTCAAACAACAATTAAGACAAGGTAGATGGCAAGAAACAACGGGAGGAGCTCTCAGGAACCGTCCGAACGGCTGGCCCACAACGAGGGGAGCCGCAACCGGACGATAAGGGCCTACTCCGGCAGTTTGTGGTCTCGCAGGGATTTCGGGGTGCTCACCGATATGATCCCAATGAGGTCCGATGGGATCCGAATGTTCTGCGGGAAATGGCAGACATCATTCAACGTTTGGCGGACGAACGGGAGGCACAACGCGAGTGTTCCACAAACACAGAGCGCACACCGTTCTCCCCTCTTCGTGTCATGCAGACCCTCAGCGAACGTACGAGCGAGAATGCTGATTCTCGCTCTTCGACCTGTACGTGAATCATCAGGGACGCCCGGTCCCAGGATATGGCGGGAAACACCGGACGTAGGTCCTACAGGAGAACACAACAATATGCAATCCCGGACCGCACCCTAGTGATGCCCCGCAATGATCACGCGGCCAGGGAACAGACCCCCATGGCCAGTGGCCTGGGGCAGGGGGGCCACATCACTAACAGGCAACATGTGTTGCCTCTGACGCCGTGCGCACCCAAGATGCTTTGGCACTGGTGACCCCCACGGCCAAAGCTGCTGACCCATGAGACGAGATGCTCATGGATCTCAGAGGCAGATCCATGAGCTCAACCGACGAGCGGAAACTAAACTGGCTCAGCCAAGGACTGCCTTATCCTCTCCTTTCTCTGCCACGATCATGGCGGTGGAGGTCCCAAGGGACGTTCATCCCCACGGCGCTCTAACGTATGATGGGGCTGGGAACCCGAAGGCCCACCTACTGTCATTCAAGGGATAACTCTCCATGCTATGAGCCTCCGATGATGTCATCTCGCTGTTTTTCAGCACTCTCAGGGGGGCGCGCAGGAATGGTTCGGGCAACTCAGACCCGAATCCGTTGATAGCTTTGAACATCTCTCCAGATAGTTCATGTCGCAATTCGTCTCCAGCTCCACGCCGAAGAGGCACTTCAGTTAGCTAACGAACGTCCGTCAAAGGAAGGAGGAACTCCTCTCTGCCTTCCTCATACGGTCGAGGGATGAAACCCTGAAGGTCGAGGACCTCACGGAGAGCACGACCATCGCCCTCTTCACCAACGCACTTGTAACCGGGGATCTTTACTTGGAATTGAAGAGGAACCCTGGGAGCAGTTATGCCGAGGTACTAGCCAGGGCACAGAGATATGCAGCGGTCGAAGAGGAGATCGCCCAGAGAGATGGGGTGGCCGCCCCTACGGCCCGAAAGGTAGCGGATCGATTGGGGATGATGTCGGCAGAAGCCTCGACGATGAAAAAGGAGAAGATGAGCTGTGGCTGCGCCCCTTGGGGGACCCAGGATCCTCCATCCAATGACTGGGGGAGTTTGCCAGACTTATCCCATTGGCATTCACGGTGAGCCAAATCTTTGAGGCCGTCAAGGATAAAGGGATGCTCGAAGAGCCGCCCGTTTCTAGAGGCCCGATGGGAAAGAACCTCAACGCCTACTGCGAATACCATCGCACGGAAGGGCACATCACGAATCACTGCAACAGCCTGAGGATGGCCATTGACGGACTTATTCGGAGGGGCTACCTCGGAGAGTTCGCAAGGGGATCGACTCATCAGACCCGGAAACAGCCGAACCAGGAACCATTCACATGGCGTAGGGACGATCGGCTAGAGGCAGAAGTCCAAAATGCCAGTTATCGCCATGCCGATAAACGCCCGGAGAGATCCCTCGGGCCGGACGGCCATAAGTAGAAATTGGAAATCAAGTGATCTTCGGGGTGCAGGGTATACGCCCGTCAGACGTTCTTCCTCCACACCATGGATAGACATGCTGTCGGAAGAAGTCCTATCAGTGACACCATTTCGCTAAATTCCTTCCTCCCAAAAAAAAGAAAAAAAAGAGAGAAAAAAATGGGGGGAAGAGGGAGACATAACTCCCGAGGTCAAGGAATCCCAAGAGGATAAAACGTTCTCCATCGAAGAACACTAATCAGTGCAGTAAAGCTGCCGGTGTGGCGGGAAGGTGGATGAATGCCCCCAAGAGGACAAACCCGTTCTCCATCCAAGAACACTAACCAGTGCGGTAAGCTGGAAGTGCGGTGGGAAGGTGGACGAACGTCCCCAAGAGGATAAAATGTTCTCCATCCAACACTAACCAGTGTGGTAAGCTGCCGGTGCGGTGGGAAGGTGGACGAACGTCCCGAAGAGGATAAACCGTTCTCCATCAAACACTTACCAGTGTGGTAAGATGCCGATGCGGTGGGAAAGTGGACGGAAGTCCCCAAGAGGACAAACATATTCTCCATCCAAAAACACTAACAAGTGCGGTAAGCTGCCGGTGCAGTGGGAAGGTGGACGAACATCCCAAGGAGGATAAAACGTTCTCCATCCAACACTAACCAGTGTGGTAAGCTGCCGGTGCGGTAGGAAGGTGGACGAACGTCCCCAAGAGGAAAAAACGTTCTCCATTCAACATTAACCAGTGCGGTAAGCTGCCGGTGCGGTGGGAAGGTGTACGAACGTCCCCAAGAGGACAAACATGTTCTCCATCGAAGAACACTAACGAGTGTAGTAAAGCTGCCGGTGCGG